GACTTTCGATAGCGGGATTCCCAAATTCTGCGAAATTTGCCGCTGACTTAATCCACCATCTGCTTGACAAACTATCCTTCCTCTAACAAAATCTGACAATTCGAGAGAACCTCGAGTTCTAGGCATGTTGTAGCACAAGATAATTAGTGTGCGGAACCATTTTCATTTATATAGTGCTCTGTGAACACAAATTAATTAGCATAAATCAGTTAAATGACGAAAAATTAGGTGCCTATTTACTTGTGACCACTCAGTGTACGTTATATTAAAACGATTATAGAGCTTATTACGTTGTTACAGTCATGTTGCCATGTCCAGTTATGTTCCATCTGAAGGTTGTGAATCTTGAAAATAGCACTATAGCATAGCGTTCATATCAAAAGGCTTCATCGTAATTTGTCATGCCCAAAACACACCTTTTCTCCCTGTTGCTTTCCATAGGCTACATATTCTAGAAAGACGATGGTCTCCCAGTGCTCATTTGAACAGTACATTCACACAGAAATTCAAAAATGTTTTGACTGGCAGTTTGATTTGTATGCATTCCTATGAAATGGCATGGATACGTGTTTAATTTTCCAGTTGCTTGTGTGATACGCGACAGTTGAATGTATATGTCATGGAAGCAACTTGTGTACACATGACTTTTGGCACTTTTCCAGGCAGAGGCCTTTCTGTATTATGTTGCATATTGTTGCCTGGGGCACTTGGACGGTGTTTGCCACTTACCTTTGTGTTCGTGGATTTTCATCTGTTACAACATTTCGCATTTTTCTTACCATAGCTGGGGCACAGCTTGTTGCAGGCCTTTTTCTGGAAGGTTCTGGTACCTCAAGTTGATCAATACTATTTTGTTTTCCAATGTCATTAGGTACAAGGGATACCCTTGTCTTGGAAAATATAAATCCCTGATCTGTATGAATTGAGTCTATGAATATTTTGCATTGGTAAGAGATGTTACATACCTTTCTCAAAAGCGGTCAGTTTTTAGTAGCATCATACTACCTGTGAAACGTCAAACGTTGCGAAAATGTACTTTTGATACAGGCCTTTCAACTGCGACTTTATATCGGCTGCGGTTGTTACGTGACTTGTTGATTTGCATATTCAAAATCGTTTTAATATAACATTAAATCCTCTGGATATCAGCCAAAGATCGGATTGAAAAGAGGCACTGTTTCAAAAGGCACTGAAAGGTAAGGTAAATAACAAATTCTCTATATAGTTAAGATTTTATTACAAGTTACAGCTTTTACAGTAAATAAGATTGTTTTTGGAACAGGTGCTTGCTGTAAAAGCTGTAACTCGTAATAAAGTTACTTAATCTGTAAGTAAGCTCAAAATGAAACTATTAGTATTCACGATTTGTTTGAAATTACAATGAAATTTCAACGACATTAATTCCATTCAAATTTTATACTTTTAACAAATTGAAAACAATACAGAGAGAATGCACGAGAAGTCGAGAACTGTAAATAACATTTTTCGTGATTGTATAAATGAAAAGAAAAATAAATTGCCTAAAAGAATGGGATATTTTTTGGAAAGTTTAATATTTATTCGTTGTTAGATCTTTATACGATTATTTGTCAGGATTAAAATACTCAGAGGACGAAATTAAGTAAGCTTAAAAAATTCTATAGACTCAGTGAAAGCATTAAATTCGTGATTAAAATCTTGATAGTTAATATGTCATTTTGTTCAAAGCCACTAGATAGCGCTAGTAAAGTGACTACTAAAATGAATCTAAGACCTAGATAGCCAAGGTCAGAACACTATGCAAAACAAACAAACAAACAATTGTGGTTGCGCATTTGCGAAACTTTACGACCAAAAATTTTTGTTTCAGCAAAAACACCACAGTACAAAGTTAACAGCGCTTCCCTTAAATATTCTACTGGAAATTTAAGTCTAATGCGTCTGAATCGTAACTTTAAGTCTTAATGTACTAGGTGCGAATCATAAATATAATATATTGTAGTATGCTAACACTGCTTATCTCACTTTCTTACGGTAAGTATTTCTTATCTACAAAAATTTTAAAGTTTGCTAAGTTTTAATTTTGGAGCACTTTAAATCCAGTTGAGATCGCTTACAAAATTCAAACTGAGGTGTTGCATTTTTGTAACTCGACCGACGATAAATAATTTTTAAGTTTCTTTCTGTCGAATGCTTTCACATTCAAGTTGTAGATCGCATTTTAAAATGTAAAGCTTGTTTTTTAATGAATTTCTAAAACTTTATCTAATACCAAAGAAAATTAATTCAGTTTAATCAGTTTCGTGGGAAAATAACAAAACATTCAAAACAATAAATATCAAAGAAGTGAAAACTGTATTTACCAAATGATTTCGCATTCGGAAAAAGCAAACTTCTTACTATTCAGTAAAAGTTAAAGATTACTTTTCGATTGATGTTGGATTTTCAAAATCCTCAACTGCAAGTAATAAGAGTTGTCCGATAAAAGATGAGCTGCGAGTTAAATGAAAAACGATACAATGATGAATAATAATGTTACGACAGCGGAGGTCACGTGACGCTAGTAACACGTCATGCACTTCTACAACGTTCATGAAACCTC